TCTTGCCAAAGCAAGGTCAGGCAATGAGACTTTTGCTAAAAGGACAGGTTGAGAAGTGTAAGAGAAGCCTGGCAACAAAATTCGCAAAAAGAACAACTAGTGGAGCTCTTCTACCATTTGTTCAAAAGGATTCTGAGCATGAGCTATAGCAAGGCTCAGGGCTAAAGCCTGAGGTTACAAAGATGAACATACCTTTCCCTTTCTAATGGGAAAGATGCATGGGCTTTGTAAGTAGAAAATGAGAATAAAGTAACAGAGATGCACACAAAGCCCGCAGGCTCTGGCTTCTGCTGGCCTGCGGCCTCTCCTCCCATTTGCTCCAGTCACAGAAGGGCCAGGTTCTCCCTCAAGTCCCAGACCTTTCCCTCCCATGGGCCTTGCCACTTGCTTGCCCCTTCCTGGGATGCTCTTCCTCCAGTATCTGCATGGTATGCTCCTAGGTCCAATCAGATCTTTACCATATGTCTCCTATTCAAGGAGCCTTCCTTGACCACCCCAAGTGAAATCTTACCACCACCAAGATTGCCCAAGCCTCTTTCCTGGTGGCAACGTTTGTTTGTTTTGTTTACTGTTCTATCTCCAGTGTACATAATAGATATTGGTAAACACTTGTCCAATAAATTAATTTAGGTGGACATTTCAATCAGTAGCTTTTAAGTGGCAGACATCAAGAACTAGAGCAATCTTTTTTTATTATTTTGTCCAATTAAGAATTCTGGAGCCAGATTTCCTGTTTTAAAAACCATGATTTATTATCAGTGTGACCATAAGCAAGTCACTTAACCTCTCTGTGCTTCAGTTTTCTCATATGTATTGTAGGGATAATAATAGTGACACTCCCTCAGGGTTGTTTCAAAAACTAATTATATTATTATATAACATATTTTATGGTCTAGCATAAACATGGTACACATGTTGGTGTTACTGCTGATTAGAAAACAAAAGACCATGAGAGATAAGTGAGTTACTCAAAATTACATATTCATTAATTCATTCAACAAATGTTTAAGTGCTTCCCTTATATCAGAAACTGAGGATTCTGTAAGAGGTTCAACAAAATTAGTTCCTACTTTTATGAAACAAATAAGGAGATAAATGTTGGACAAAGAGTCTCACACACACACACACACACACACACACACACACACACACAGAGCATCTGGGTGAGCACTATGAAGGCTCAGGGCACCATGGCTATGAAGAATGGGGAACTTGATCTGTACTTATCCCCAAGGGGCTCAGGGTATATGGAGATGTCCCTGATGATAAGGCACTCATACAGAGGCCTGAGGGCTGGGCAGAAATTAGCCATGTTGGGCAGGGAAGGGTGGGGCTGGGGAGGAAGGAGTTTGTTGGAGGTGGCATTCAAACTTGGACCCCAGCCTAGGACTTTGCATCATAGGTGTGCAGCCAAGGCTTGAGTGTGAACTTTTTCACTAGTCTGACATTATACCACAGCAAGACAGCCAAGACTCATTACCATCATGCTTGTGTCTCCTCATCTCTGCCCCTGGCAGGAGGCTGGCACCCTGTGTACCCACGAGTGGAGACAATGCTCTGTTCCTTCAGCACATGCTAAGGACTAACTCAACTCTGATGATGAATTGGTGTTCTGATTTCAGAAATGCACCCCAGGGATAATATGGAAGGAGAATGGGCTCCCCCGGATGAGGTCACAGTGACACCAGCCTCAGGGGTCCTCCTCTCCTCCAGTAGGCCAGGAGTCTCCTGGGAAGCCTGGCTGAGGATAGGAAAATCCACTCTGTTCCCCATAAACCCAAGAGAGATAGGACCTTGACCTCAGCACTGACCGTTTTCCATTAACTTCTCAGCATTCATGGAAATGGCTGTGCCTGGGGCTGAAACATTGCCATTATTAAACACTTGGCTAAAATATGGATGAATCCCTGGGAGGGGGTTATGCAAGATTCAGATATATGGTCTGTGATATGGATAGGGTATATCTTTTTATTGCAATAATAAGTTTCTCAACTCCTAAAGGACCCTGTATTAACTGAAGATGACAGGGACCGAGGGATGGGAAGCTGGCAATTTGTTAAGGTTGTGGAACAGCGGTTACAGGGGTTGTAAGAGATAAAACATTTCGGAGTCATTAAAATCCACCTAAATTGTCTCTCTGAACTCAAAGCAACAAACCTCACTCAGGCTTGAGTCTATCACCAGACATCTTTTCTTTACAGTGTCTCCATTCACCTAGAGGTGACATATGGCTCAATGTTATACTCCCAGGAGTACTAGGGCTTTGAAAAGACCATTCCCAGACCTTCCTGGGGGAGGTGGCTTTGAGTGCTTAAGAGGAAAAGGGGGAATGTGATGGACACACAGTCCCTTGGGTGTAGAAAGGCTCTCATCTACAAGAGGCAGGGTCAGCCAGGAGCACTCTGGCTGGCTACAGAGAAGAGTCCACCTGGAGAATGGTAAGGCTATTTTAGTGTTGGGAAACGGTAAATGGAAAAGACCTTTAAATTCCTGATTAGGACTTTGTAGTTTGTTTGTGGTTAACAAAGGGCATAACAGAATCTAGGAAGATTCACGGTCAGACTCACAATTCAGTGTGTGGGTAGTTCTAACGAGAAGTCTGACTACTATCAGAAAGCTTACTAATGGCCAGGCTCCATGATGAGGGATTTTCAAAAACTAAATTTCTTATAACAATCCCATGTAATAAATCATAATATTCCCATTTTATGAATAGGGAAATAGGGCAAGTTTCTCAGCCACTCCAAGATTCAAAATCACATAGCTGATAAGGCAGGTGGGTTATAGTCTACAACGTGACAAATCATTCTACGCTGTTAGCCACAACACAGCCCTCTTCCGAGGAAACAATGTGTGTATTTGGATGGAATGCACTGAATTTCCACACTGACGTCCCACACAACTAGCAGAGGCAACACTGACGGACATTCCTAATAGCAGTTGATGTCAGTGGCACAGAATTCCAACACCGACTCTGGACCAGGATCTTGGGCTTAGCAGTGACCAAGACAGAAAGATGTACATTCCAACTAGGCATGGTGGCACATGTCTGTAATCTCAGCTATTTAGGAGACTTGAGGCAGGAGAACTGCGAGTTGTTTTTTTTTTTTGGTACCTGGGATTGAACTCGGGACCTTGCACTTGCAAGGCAGGCGGCAGAATCACTGAGCTAAATCCCCAGCCAGGGAGAACTGCAAGTTTGAGGAGAAGCTGGGCAACTTAGTGAGACCCTGTCTCAAAAGAGAGAGAGACAGAGAGAGAGAGCGAGAGAGAGAGCGAGCGAGCACGTGCACTGGGGGTGTAGTTCAGAGGTAAAGAGACCCTCTAGCAGGCATAAGGCTTTGGGTTCAATCCCCAGGATCATAAAAAAGAAAGCATGTTCCAATCGCCAGGAAGAAGGAAGGGTGAGCTTTATAATATCCCCTGCAGCTGTCCTTGGTCAGTAGACCTTCCTGTATTTTATCTTCCATGGAGGAGCAAGTGTTCCTGAATAGAATGGGCTGGAAGGCAGGGGAGCAATAAGAACCATGAAGCTCCAAGGGATGACAGAGGGAGAGAGGGTGGTAATGACAGTGACAGTTACATATTCCAAATTTGGCCTCTGCAAGTAGGCGACACAAGGTGGGAGGGAGGCAAGCGAAGAAAAGGCAGTCATCATGCCGGGATTCTTTGAAAATGCCATTGTTGTCAAACTTGGAAAACAGTTTCCCACCCCGAATAAAACACTGACATTTGTCTAATTAAAAAACCTAATAGAGATTCTGCAGACAGAGGGAAGCCGCCAGTGCATCTGCCGGCAGAGTCTCCATATGGCCCAATCCAATGTGTACTCTGCTGCAGAGACAGAGCAGGGACTCTTGTGTTAAAATTGCCTGACCATTAAATTACCTCCATGGCCTTGCTGGCCATGGCTACTGGTGAAGGGAAGGCCTGGCTCAGATTTTTGTCTTGCCCCTTTTCCCTCCTCAGTGGCCAAATGACATGGAAGTGCTAGTGGGAGGAGGGGATAGGAGGGCAGAGGAAGGGAGGAGAGTCTTTCCCAGACTGTTGGGAAAGATGCCCCCTTTCTGGAGCCCAGTGGAGATGGGACATGTTAATAAATACACTGGGACAGCTCAGCAGAGATTGGTAAAGAAATGCTGCTGAGTGGCTGCCAGCTCCACACGTGCGGTCTGTACAGAGTCCCAAATCATCATCCAGATCCCCGGCAAGAGCTAGGTCAAGTCTCGCAGTAAGTCAAGCCTCTGGCAAAGCCTGCTAAAGACCAACCTTCCTTTCAGAAAGACAAGATAGGATAAAAGTTCAAGTAATTAGTAGCATGGCCAACTTCCCTGGAGATGTGCAGGTGCTCCACACTCCCAGCAAACTGACTGGGCCCACAACGGCTCCTGGCACCTGCACGTGCTGCCCATACATGCCTGGCTAGCCCTTGCTACCCCCACTCTGCTGTCCCTTCACCTCCCTGAACTGGAATCCGTCCTCCTTACTTCTCTCCATGCTAATCACTCCTTGCTGCTTCACCCTCCTCCAGCAAGTTCAGGTATTTCAGCACTTCTGATGAGCTCAGCCCTGAGCACCTCTCACTCTATGCATCAACAAAAAGTACATCACACACACACCAAAAAAAACCCAACCAAGCAACACACCATGAGCTGTGAGATAGGAATAACTCATCCTGTCTATTAGTTTGGAATAAGATCCTGATGAACAGGGAAGAAAGAAGAGCTCTGCCTTCCTTCTAGAAGCCATGCTGGGTAGCTATGGGGCTCCTGCCTCTGCCCTTCATTATGTTTCTGGGGCTTTTGTTTCCGATCTGAGGCACCACAACGCAACCTGCTGTATCCACCTAATTACCAGCCTCTCCCTCTGTTCCCACTGGCATGGCAGGTGAAGCGTAGCCAAGGGGGACTTATTGTAATGATAGAACCTAGTGATGAGCTTCCTTGGCCACAGTAGCCATTCATTATCATAATGAGCAATGCTAATTTATTGTGATGACACAGGATGGAGTGCTGACTTGGGACATCTGGGGTGCACCAGTCACTCCAAGCAGCCAAGAGAGGCAGTGCCTTAGGAAACCAGCTCCCTCGAAGAGGCTTTCAGCCAAGGACATGTAGTTAATGGAAGTGGCTGTTAGGCAGGTGAAATTTAGAATTACCTCTGGTTTTAACTACCCAAAGAGTAGAACGCTATTATTCTCCAATATCTTGAGCAGAGGCTGGACAGATGGGCTCACCTCTCCCATCTTCTGATGTCCTTTCTCCCATGAAATAGTTGGGATCACTAGTGATTGCAGGTGACATCACATTTTCCAAACATGGTTGGGGAATATGATTCATTCCCCTGAACCCATTCCATTTCTCCCCAATGAACAGCAGCAATTATGTTTAAGGAAATGGCCAGATTACTGGGTGAGCCTGATTGATTTCAGGGCTATCCATTCCCACCCAGTGATTGGCTCAGAGTGGGGCTAGAAACCTATTTAGACTGAGACTGCTGAAAGGAGTCTCCGAACTTATTTTATGCTTAAGCAAGAGGTTGCTGATGCTTGCTGTCTTCCAGGTATGAAGGAGGCTATTAACCTAGGAAAAAAGGTAATTCCTAAAAAAGGAAGAGACTAAGACAGGGACAGAAAAAATGGGGGCAATGCCATCATTGAACAGGGCCTAGTTTTGGACTTCAGCTTATGTTAGCCAACAAAATTCCTTATTGCTTAACCAAATGGAGTCTGTTTCTGTTATTGGAAGCTCATAGAACAATTTCTGTGAGAAAACATCTGCTTGGAGAGAGCCCACCAGAGCTGACAGAGGGACATTTGGTGTGGCCTGGCAGAGGGGAGTACACACAGGCTGTGAGACCCACCCAGTCAAGGGGCACTCTGTGCCACTTTCACCTCATATGTGCTATGGAGGGGGCACATGACCAGGCAGCACAGTAGTCCATGTTCATGAGTGTTCACGAAAAAGAACTCACCCTCTCCACCTACAGTACTGCATGTCAGTAGTGCTATGGGTGACTGTTTTATTCACAAATACTAACCAGGCTAGTATTGGCCTTTGCTCTGCTTTGCAACTTGCTTCAGTCATTGAAATACAAGTGAATGTGATGTATGCCACACAGTGCTTTGAATGCAAGTGTCTGATTTGGCTTGGCCAATTTCTGCCCTCTGTCATGACAAAGAAAAGTGTCAGTTAGGTGCAACTCCTGCCACCAGACCTCTCAAATGAAAAGGCACACAGAATAGAGTCACAGAGGACTCACAGCCTACCGTGACATGAATGAGAGAGAAAGAGTTCTTGTTGGAGGCCACTGAGATTCTAACAAATAAATACTTATTGAACAATGTTACATCCCTAGGACTCCACAGAGTGAATTGGATGATGCAGAATGCTGAGGGATGGTTTTTGTTCTCAGAGTGTTTACTGTTACAGTTAAACACCAGGAAGAATTACAGACACTGAAAAGTTCAGGGATACGGTGGGCAGCCACCAGAATTCACAGGGTGGGAGAAGATCAGCTGGGACAACCTTCAGAAGCAGATGAGCCCTGGAAGGTGCTGAATAAGGCTGAAAGCAGACAGGTTCCCTGTCTAAACAGCTGAAGGTTCGCCACTCACCTTGCCAGCCAAAAGGAGGAGCCTGGCAGTGCTACTGCACTCTCTTCTGGCTGCCTGAGGCAGAGATGCTGAGACATTCACTTTCACATTTGAATGAAAATATCTTAGTGTACAAATTATCACTTTACAATTAATTATGCAGAGCAAGTAATACATATGAGACCTCAATATTATGACAGCTTGGAAATTTACTGTTTTCGAACTGAACATGCAACAAGTCTCGCCAAGTGTATGTTGGAAAATAGCACAAGATTAGACAATTAATATTTTAATTTTGTATATTCGCAGCACATCTGTGGGTCAGTGTAAACATCACAAACAACTTGGCAGATCCCACTTGACACTCCCCCACCCCAGACTGACCTTAAAAACCAACGATCCTTAATTAGGCTTCTCCTTCCCCTTCTGCCTTTGGGGAGAAGAGATTCTTATGAAAACGATATGATTACACCATATTGGAGTTCACCAGGGATTTCAAATGGTTTGAATTTGATTTAAAAAAAAAAGAAAGAAAAACAGCAGATTTCTTTGCTGGAGTCTTCCCTCCAGAATCTCCAAGCACCATGTGGATTTCAAGGGGAATTTCATCAGTATGTTTCTGATTCCTTTACACTTAAATCATTAAAAGATTTTTGAGGGTTTTTGAAGTCCAATAACTCTCTTGAGCCACTCTTTTTCCCCCCCAGCATATATTTCATTTCTCTTCATAAAAATTAGGAAATTGAATTTTAGCTCTGGGTTAAAAAGAGAAAAAGGCAGCTGCTTATCAATGATGGTGGCTAAAAATTAAAATCCTAAATCTAAAAGTGTGTCTTGAGGTCCATCAATCCAATAAATATTTGCCAATTCTCTTTGAGCCCATGTCTCAGAGGGTAGAGATCTGGCCTATTATGATCTAGGAAAACAGCTCATGAGTTATATGTGGTGCATGGTTTTGTCCAGACAAAGCTAGATCATTAACTCACATGAAGAGGGTGCAATTGTAGCATTTAAGCTAGATGAGACCTATAGTACCATGCATCCATGCCTGCTGTCCTCATCAAGGCAAGGCCCATCTTAGATCTCTTCGTACATTCTCTCTTGGTAGCTGACACATTTTTTTTTTTTTTGTCACACTGTAGTCAAACTATTCTTTGCTACATCTGACGCAGCCTGGTCTTACTCTCAGGTAAAGCATTTCACCTTTTCTCATTCTCTTGATAGATCAGAACCTAATCTTGAAATGGATCATATCACTATTTGGAAATACAGAAAAGAAAATGCTTATAAAGGTTCCATGGGATGTAAGCTCCATGACAGCAGGTACCTCATCTATCCTTTTCATTCTGTCCCCAGACCTAGCCAGTGTCTGACACATAGGAGATGATGAATAATGTTTGTTGAATGAATGAATGAATGAATAAAAGTCTAATCATATGTAAAATGTATTCAACCTTTTCACAGCATTTCCATACCTCCTGATTAATAGTATTCTAATGATACTCTGTGTGAGTAGCAAAGACAGAGTGATCATTGGTTTTCTTCTAAAGTAAGTGAGGCCCAGAAATGAATAAGTTAAGACTTTATGGCTGATCAGTGGTCAAACTGGAGACTTCTTATCATGATTCTCAGCGTGTGCTGTTTTCCTACAGAGCAGCGTTTCTGAAGAGTTAGCATCCATTAGAATTATCCAAAAAGATTTGCTAAGCACAGGGGTGGGGATTTAGCTCAGTGGTTTTGCCGCCTGCTGCAAAAGCGCAAGGACCCGAGTTCGATCCCCGGTACCAAAAATGAGCCCTACCCCCCACAATGTCAATTCGCTAGGTTCAAGGTCAGAATCTGCATTTACCAAGTCCCCAGGCAATGTTGGTACTGCTCCTCCTGGGACCATACACTGAGAGCCACTGTTTAAGGCTGAAGCTTACCAAATGCGAAGGAAAGATACAGAAGAGAGATAGATGCTTCCTAACATCCTCTGAGACAGGGACTGAAATATCAAAACCTAGCTCATCCACATAGAAACCCAGACTGCATGCCTTAACTACAGAAGTCCTTGTTCTTCATTAAAGACTAATCAAATCAAAAAACCTTAATAATGTAGACCATGGAAGGGAATATTCTAATTTAGGGATATTCTAACTTGGAAAGAATATCAGCTGGAATTTTTCTGAAAATGAACTTAGGTTTTGAATAAAGATTTAGGAGCTGGAAAGGACAGTAGAGGCCACTTGGTCCAACCTTCTCCATTTTACACTTATAAAAAGAAAATGGTTTAAATCAGTGATATAGTTGACTTAATGCCCCCGTTCTCCTTATGCCTGATCCACTAGCTTCAGGTATAATCAAAGGGAGGCAGGATTCCTCCCCACCTCTCACCCTGCTTCTCCTAGCAGCTTATGCAAGGGCAGCTGATCATCCACAGATGCAAGTTTTTTATTTTGTATACCAGCGTTCAATGCAGCATTATTTGCAAGAACCATAATATGGAAACAATCCCAGGGTCCAACAGATAGATGATTAGATAAACAAAATGGGGGCCATCCATAGAATGGAATATTATTCAGCCATAAGAGGAAAAACATTCTGATATATGCCTCGACATGAATCAACCTTGAAAATATGTTAAATCAAATGGGCCAGACACAATGGGTGAATATTTTACATCTCTACTTACTCAGGTATACAATATCTAAAATAGTCAAATTCATAAAATAGCAGCTACCAAGAGCTACTGGGAAGTACTGTTTGGTGGGGACAGAGCTTCTGTTTGGAGTGATGAAAAAGTTCTGGAAATAGATAGCGGTGAAGGATATATAGTGTGAATGTAATTAATGCCATTGAATGTACACTTGAAAATAGTTACAATGTAAAATTTAAGGTGATATATATTTTTACCACAATAAAAAAGTTAAAAGAGAAAAAAAGGAAGTAAAAGTGAAAAACCTACAAACAAGAAAACACTTCCCAGACCACTGAGTACCTCAATACCCACTAGGCCTTGCACACAACCCTGTTCAGCTGTGAGCTTGGCGGGTAATGAGAACAGACGAACTGCTGAAATCTGGCTTTCAGCAGATTTTGGTAGTTGCAAGAGTTTCTCTTGTTAAGGGATGCTCCCTTTTGTGTCCCTCCATGTATTTCCTAAACTTAGGGATGGACTCCAGAGTCAGGGTGAAGTTTCTGGAGAACAGGTTGTCAGAGCAGTAAGGATTTTGTTCCTTCTTCCAGCCTACTTTTCCCTGGCATGGGTACCTGGATGTGTCTGGTAAATGCTAACCTCCCTATTTCACTGGATGTGTGATTGCACAGCTTATGGTCGTGGAGCAGAATTTAGATTTGGTGACTCATTTCTCCAAACCGGGCTTCCATAAGACCCACACTGATACCTGGCATGTTTATTGCTGCCTGGGAAACCAGTTTTGTGCATTCTCAAAATTATAAGGCTACACATGATGATACAGATGCCTCTCAGAGGGAAGACAGAGACTTTCAGGGTAGCAGTTGAAGGACACACAACTTGAGTGAGTGAGATGGATGTTGAGGAGGCAGAGGATATGTTTGTCATTCACTCACTCATAGCACTATTCCCTCTCACCTGTAGGTGTCCAGTTGGGCTTCAAAAGCATCTCTGGATGCTGGGGAGATCCACTGAATTGCAAGTAAGCAAATAAATATGATTTAGTAGTAGAAGAGGATTTGCCACACCACAAAACTTCCTCCTTCATTTATTTTGACAATTTGGTGTCTAATATTTATGGCTGTGCTTTAGACTATCCAAGTAGTTTTAGTGTGAGAAAGTCTTCATAAACTGAGCTGCTGATTCTCTGACAAAGTGATGAGCAAGCTTATGGGGCAGAGGGTGATCCTTGGATTTTAGTTAACCAGTTAAATCGTTCTATTTGTGTGTAAATATTCCTACCATTGTCAACTCACAACATATGTTAGGTACATTTATACAGAGAACTATAATGATATATTCCCTGCCTCTTGGAATTTATTTTTTAAGGATTGAAAATATATACAAAGGATATTCCATTTTTCATTTCTGTGCCATTGCAGACATTACTAATGGAGCATCTGAATTTTTCCTGAATTTTCAGAATATTTCCTGCATTGGATGCCAGGCATCCGCAACCAGTTGATTGAAGTGTGTGCAAAGCTTTCCCGCTGTAAGCACATTGGATATTCCTCTGACTCTAGATGGTGCATCAATACACACCAAAATATTTTTTAATACTATCATCTAAGTGTTCACACCTTCCAAGTAGTAAATATGTGTGCCATTTGCAGAATTAAGGCATAGCCTTTTGTGGGTTTTGGCAAGTCTAATTCCTCAGTGTGAGTGCTCATGTGTTGTAGGTGGGAGAAAAACCTGGTGGTGTGTAGGATTCATTAAAGGCTTTCCCCCTAAGACAGGAGGATGCTGGTCCCTTGGTGAAACACTTATCATAACCACATACACTCTTCACTTCCACTTCTCTAGAGTTCCAATTGAGTAATTAAAATCACTTCTGTTAAACGAACATGGTTGGCTCAATAAGCCAAGGGCAAGTTTATGGATCTGGAGGATGGAAACTACCTTAAAGCTTGGCAGTTCTAGCTGTGGTGAGGAATAACAATTAGAATAATTGATAACCAGGTTCTTGATGTCGAAGCACCACGCAAGGCTTCAAAACATCCATAATGGGCATGATTCTCTGGCTGGAGTAGATCACAGAGCTGGAATTGGGTTCTTCCAATTGCTCAAGCTGCAGTGGCCAGGGACATGCTTCCTCTTAGTGATGCCAGCTGCATAGAGGTCTTTTGAATCCATAGCCAGTTGAGGTCCCTGTGGTCTGGAAGAGAAACCCTCTCCTTGACACGTGCATGAGTACGGGGCTGCACAAGCATGTGTGCCATCCCTGCGGAGACGTCTCAGACTTGACGTGTTCCAAAGAGGACAGGCAGGGCTGCTGCAGAATCAGGCTTGGGGCCATGCAGAACATATGTGGGACTGACACCTAGATACATCCCCTAGTCTAATTTACCCTTCCAACTTAAGCAGTAACAATACTACCAACTAGTATTAATTGCATCATTTATTGAGCAATTACCACATTCCTGACATGATGCTAAATGTGTTTATAATGATATCACTTAATGTTATCATTTAATTATATCATTTAATCTTCATATCAATCCCATGAAGCACTTATCATTCTCCATCTTACAGAGATGAAAGCTTTGAAAGATTAAATAACTTTCCTAAAGTCAAACAGACAGTAAATGGCTAGGTTAGAAATCTGACCCCAAAATTCACCCTCCTAAAGTACTGTGCTTTATTGTCTTTGCAGTCTGATCTGTTCTCCCCTGGCTGACTCTACCTATAAAATGCCCACTTTTTTCATCACCATAAGCTGCATCTGTAGATCCCAAGAGACTTACTGATTAGACAAAGATAAATGCACAGCACTATAATAATGCTATTAAATCACTGCACCGATGAATAAAAGGTAGAGCTAAATCTCCCTAAATGCAAAGGTCCTTGTGACACTGTGGAACTTAGTCCACTTGATCTGGCTTTGGGATTCTAGTTTAAGAAGTTTCCCTGTGAAGAGATGCTGCTGCTCCTACTGCTGCTGCTGCTCGGTTTTCTGCAGGGCTCCTCTCCTCTAAAATGATCAGTCCAAATGGTTTATTTTATGTCCACAGCCTCTTAACTTTTCTGATTGTACTAGGCTATTTCTCAGAATATATTGTAAGACAAATACATTCTTTGACCTCACTGAAATCCTATACATTCACGCTCTTCCCTAATCAGTTCAGACTTCATAGTCCGTCACTCACCCCTAGTACTTTCCCCTCATCTGTTCAACTTTCTTTGTAGAAAACCTCAAGCCAGGTCATTTCATGATCTGCCTTCTCTGTGCCTAGTTCTGGTTGGCAAGAGTTACTGGACAAAATAAGCCCAAAAGTGAGTTGAGCCCTTTGATGGTTAATTTTACGTGTCCATCTGCCTGGGCTAAAGGATTCCAAGATAATTGGTAAAGCATTATTTTCCATTATTTCTGGGGGTATCAGAAAATGATTGAAGTTTGGATCAGTGCACTAAGTAAGAAGTACACAGTGCACTTCTGTGTGGGTGGGCACCATCCAATTAGCTGAGGTTCAGATTAAACAAAAAGACAAAAGAAAGAAAATATCCTCTCTCTGCCCCCCCCCTCCATTTTTCCTTCGTTCCTTCACTTCCTTCCCTCCACCACTGTAGAAGCTAGGACTTCTTTCTTCTGCCCTTGCACATCCAGCTTCTCAAGCTTTTGGACTCCAAGGCCTTCACAGCAGCCCTAGGTTCACAGGCCTTTAGTCTCAGAGTGAGAGTTGCACTATTAGTAACCATGGTTCTGACGCCCTTGAACTTGGTCTGAGCCTCACCATCATCTATCTTCCCTGAGTCTCCAGCTTGTAGACAGCATATCATGGAATTTCTCATAATCTATGATCACTTAAGCCAATTTCCCTACCAATTGGCTCTCATGTATCTCTATCTATATACTCTATTAGATCCACTTCTGTGGAGAACCCTGAGGAATACAACCCCACTTGTTGTGTATGATTTCCTACCACAACCAGCCCCTCCATGCTGCCCTAATTCCTCTGTGCTTCTGAGGTTGGATAATCTTTCATCCTCTATAAAGGCTAAATCAAACTTTCTCCATTCTTCTTAAATTTTACTATTGTCTTTCCTCCACCACTCTCAGCAGATGATCTCTTCTTACCTCTCAGAGAAAATGAAGCCAACAAATAAGTGCTTCCTCAGTACCCTAACAGAGAGTCCACTCTTCTGTATTTTGTCTGGACACAACTTTTCCATCTTTCCTTCTATGACATGAGAAGAGTGTAATGCCATACAAGGTTGTATTAGTCCATTTTTCATTGCTATAATGAAATAACATTAGGCTGGGTACTTACAAAGAAAAAAGGTTTACTTTGCTTATGGTTCTGGTCCAAGATTCAGGAGCTGCATTGGATGGTGACCTTCTTGCTGGTAGAATCCCAGGACATGTAGGGTATCACATAGCAGGAGATAGGGAGCATATGTGTATATTCTGATCTCTCTTTCTCGCCTTATAAAGCCACTGGAATTCAGTCATAGGAGCCTCACCCTAGTGACCTTATATAATTCTAATCACCTCCAAAGGCTCCATCTCTAAATATCACAGTAAATTTCTGCACATGAACCCCCTGGGGGCATTCAAACCATATCCAAACAATAGCAGAGGCTTGTCCCTCTAACCACACAATGAATGCCCTTCCTTCCCACTTCTAGGGAATTTGTTCTATCTATTTTACTCTTTCCTTCTCCTCAGTAGGGCTAAACTAAGGGCAAGTTTTTCCCATCCTTGAAAGAAATGCAAAAGAGACAGCAATCACAACAAACTCTCCATTTTCTCCTTGTTCCTCTGTAGCCATTTCCCATTTTTTCCCTCTCTCTATAACTCAAGTCCTTGAAAAGGTTGTGCTATGGCTTGTATCTAGATGTCCCCCCAAAGCCTCATGGGCTTTTCAGAGCTGGCTGGATCTAGGGTGCGTGATACGAGGATTAAGGATGTGTGGTACTAAATTAGCCCCGTGATTTGTTTAGCATAGTTGTAGGTGTGGATAAAGAAAAGCCCACCTTGAATGTGGGTGGCACCACTCAAAAGGCTGGTAAACTGGATGGGATAAAAGAGAAAGGAAGGCTTGCTGCTTGCTGTCTTCTGCTTGCCATGCCATGGACTGTTTCTCTTCTGTGATGCCTCTCTGCCATGCTATCCTGCCTTAAACAGCAGACTATGGACTGAAACCTCTACAAATTGTGAGCTGAAATCAGTCTTTCCTCCTCCAACTTTGGGTGTTGGGTACCTTGCCTCAGCAATGAGAAAAGTAACTAATATGAGTTGTTTGTGTTCACTGTATTCATTTCTTTCCTCCAACTCCCCCCGCAACACACAGCTTTCTAGTGTCATGTCTGCCCTTCATCCTAAACAGCTTTCTCCAAGGTCACTAGTTGCTCTAAGTTTCAATGTCCCCGGCATTTCTTTGCATCATTAGAGTAGGGTTGCTTTCCTTGCCTGGGCTTCCATGATAGCATGGTATCCCTTCCTTCTTCCTCCTTTTCTGGAGTTTCTTCTCATTTGCCTTGTGGATTTCTTTTTCTTTTTCTTTTTCTTTTTTTCTCATTTCCTTGATATTGGTATTCCTTGAGACTTTCACCCAAATTCTTTTTATAATCTGAAAACAAGTTTGTCTCTTGGCTCTAGCTCTAATTCCATATTTAATATGTACCAGACAGCATTTTTTAAAGCTCCTTAAGCTTCTTTAGCTCAATGTACCCAAAGTGAAATCTATTGGCTTTCCCTCCAAACCTCATCCTTCTTCAGAATTCCAACATCATAAGTGGTTCCTCTACCCATTTGTCCAAACCAGATCATATAGTGTCATTCCATATGCAGTCATTCTCTGTACCCAGTCAATAATTAGCTTCCTATTCTTACTCTTAAAGATTGTTTCCCATTCTATTCTCAGCATTTGTCATAGTGGCTTGCAGAGAGATGATAGTAAATAAGTATTTTATGGCTAGAAGATCAGACATCTCCTGATTCCTTCCCATTCACCTCTTATCTTTCCTACTTTGAGTCATTATCATCTCTCACCTGGATGTATCTATCCACCTGGTTGTCCTGTCCTTAGTCTCCTCTTTTAGTATACAATGTAAAGAGAGAGAGAGAGAGAAAGAGTGTGGTCTTCTTATCCTCCAGCTCACATTTTTCAGACAGGTTTTCCACCACCCATTATACTACATGGCACTCATTAAGTACTCAAAAATTATTTGCTTAATAAAAAAGGATTGAGTTCTAAAATAAAGAGGATTTACACACCTACAGAAAGTCTAACACCAATTATGTCTGTGTCATTATTGTGTTTGCCCATTTGCCCTCAGAACATATTTGACTGTACACACCAGACCCATGCCTACTCTCCAGCTCCTGTTGGCTTCCTCCCAGAAACCAGCTCCAGAGTGGTATTTATTTAAAGGCAGTGTATTAGTAAGTTTTTTGTTGTTAGGAAAAAATACCTGACATGTACAAGTGAAAAGAGAAAGGGCTTATTTTGGCTCATGGTTTCAGAGGCTTCAGCTCATGGGTGGCTAGCCCTTAGACAGAAATATCATGGCAGAAAGACGTAGAGAAAAGCTGCTCGCCATATGGCAGTCAGAAAGAAGAGAAAACAGGAGAGAGCCAGAGAGGAAGGGACCAGGGACCAGAGATAGTCTCCAAGGTCTGCCCTCAAAACCCAAAGTGTGCTTCATGAATCTCCCAGGCAGGTCTCCCTCAAGCCATTCAAGTTGACAATCAAGATTAATCATCACAAGCAAAGGTGTTGGGTGATTTGGAAGAAGTGTTAAAGATAAGGAACAGCTTTGCTCCATTAAAATTCTCACCTAAGTAAATATGGCATCTTTCATGCTGACTCTCACTTCTAGTATTGCTGGACTGTGCTGATTAACTGGATGCCCACTATGTGCTCATCTTGTTCCACTGACAGCTTCCTCTCATTTACCAACACCCCTGGTTACTTCTCTAATGTTAAGAATGGAAGTTGTTATTAGCATGATTTCCTCCCCAACAGCATGTCTATCCAATGTGACTATGGGTGTATGTGTGTGCGTGTGTGTGTGTGTGTGTGTGTGTGTGTCTGTGGTGGAGGTGGGGGAGAAATTTTTTAAAAGAGATTCCCTAACAGCTGTGCTCTTAGAACAAAAGGAAAGAAGGTGTACACACTTTTGTTCTAGAGAGATGCAACCTTTGCCATAACCTGCTCCTCTCCTTACAGGATCTTATAAGACCTTGCAACAATTTGGTGGATGCATCTTCTCTGCTGTGTCAACTCTGCCATTGGTAGTTGAGTGAGTCCCCCACCCCTCCAGGCTGATGGTGACCCTGGGATCTAACATGGAAGTGTCCTAAAAGGGTAAGAAGAGCAGACAGCTCAAGAAGGAGTGAATCAGTGAGAGGAGCTGAGAAAGGAGAAGGGAAGGAGTGCCTGCCCCATGAGCCAGGCTGGAGTCCCATGGAGTGCCTGAGGCAGACTTGAGGGATGGTGGTTATGGATTAAATGGAAGAGGCTGTCAGGTTCCAGAACTCAGCACATAAGCAGATGTCAGGGACTGGGAGCTTGCCTGGCTTTGTCCTCTCCTCCTGGGCATTGTGACTTCCTGCTATCCATGGCTGCCAGTCAGGCAGCTTCATTCTCCACTGGATCCATGACTGCCAGCTTCCTGATGCCACCTCAGGGACTGTGGTAAGGTGATATCATTGAATGGCTTCTGTTGACTCTTCCTACCCTTCTGACTTGTTATGGTTAAGATCTAGAATGTCCCCCAAAAGTCTCGGGTGTTCAGAGGTGGGGCTTTTGGAAAGTGATTGGATCACAGGGGTGCTACACTCATCAGTAGCTTGATCCATTACTGAGTTCATAGCTGAAAGTACTGTTAGAAGGCAGGTCTTGCTTGGGAGAGATAGGTCACTGGGGATGTGTCTTTGGAGGATGTATCTCCTTCCCTGGCTGTTCCTTCTCTTTCTGCTTCCTGGTTACCATGGGGTGTGCACCTTTCCTTTGCCATGCCTTTCCACTGCCTTGTAGCTGCTGACCATGGACTAAATTCCCTGAACTGTGAGCCAAATTAAACCTCTCATCCTTTAAGTTATGGGTGTCAGGTGTTGCCTCTTGCACTCTTCCCTGGCCAGAGGCTCTGATGGCAAACCTCTCTCTCCTCCCCAGCACAGACATCTGTCTTCTCCTTCTCTCCTGCCATTATGTATTTTCAGGTACCTTTTCCTCTTTCCCCCATCTCTGCAGTCAAGAGAGCAGGAGTCTTTGCCAGGTTGAAACTTACAGCAAACAAATACCCCTGGATGTCGGGCATCCATGTCCTGATGCCTAACCTGTCCTATGCGTGGCAGTGACTTGGTCAAGGGTAGAGACCCTCTGGCTTTCTTCCCCTGGTGTCTTTTAAATGACCCTAACATTGCCCACCATGTACTCATGCCTGGGACTCTTCTTACTGTCACATGAAGCTTCAGCCCAGTGCTCCAGAGTAGAGGAGATTATCGGTAAACAGAACATCACAGGAGCACGCTGTCCCACACCTATCAGGTAGGTGCTTGGCCATAGCTCAGTCATTCTGCTTCTTCTTCTGTAAGATAGGGAAAGGAAGAGCTAGACCATGGGCTGACAGAATGAAAGTTAGCACTGAGCATTCCTAACACAGAACCCAATGTTGCTGTTGAAAGTAATTAGGTCCACTGGAATATTCTGTCACATAGTTACCACTGCAGGTCCCTTTTAAGCCACACCAGAACCTCTTCTGCACTTTCCTCCTGGCTTTGCAGAGGTAAACACAGCTCTGAAGGACCATGGAAGGAGCATTTTGAGTAGCTCATACAGTGAGGCAACTCCCTGGTTAATTCCTATCTGCACACACTCTCTTGGCCTCTGCAGAAGTCCCTCTACTGTACCATCCCTACCCAAATAACCTGCTGCCAGAACTCTGTCTGACAGTGTGATGGAAGCCACCTGGCATTGGTCTGAAAAGAACTGCAAAATCTCAGATGAGCATTTCTTTTCCCATCCGTGGTTGGGATGCTGTGCACAGCCAAGCATCATGGAAACCTCTGATATTCGGGTGCCTGCTGAATACTAAAGAGGGTGGGGGAGAAAATGAAAGAAAAAAGAGAAAGATGTCTCGGTCAGAAGTTTTTCTAATCGGTATGGATTTTCCCCTGTTTCAGTGGATTTGAGAGAGGCTGTAGGAAAAGGAAAGGGAAAAAAAAATCAAAAGCGGATTATTACCCTGAGCTGCTCTTCTTTTTCATGCTGAGCCGTGACAGCAGCTCTCTGCCTGCCCTATCTGCATGCTAAAGGCTGAGGGATGACGCAGGCAAAATATTGACAACTGAGCTGAGATTATAGGTTACTTGGATCTTGAAAGATAGAATCAATTAAAATGGAGCTTTCTGCTCACCAGATAAATTAGCTTCCGGAAAAAATATCTGCCTTTCCCCCCAGTGTCTGGAGTCACAGGTGAGGTGAGATCACCCAAAAGACTGAAGTAAAAAGCTCTCTACTGCATGGCACTTCTGTGTGAGCACTCACGTACACACTCATACAGACACAGTCCCTGCATACCTGGTACACAGTGGTGACTCACTAAATATTGGTTCTGCTTATGACTGCTTGTGCATACACTCGCATATTCATATGTACTATCCAGTTACCTATACAACATTCCATATTTGTCCCTATTTTGCAATGCTAAGCATCATGAGATCTGCCAAATTTCTACAAGAGTCTGCCAGGCTTACATTTTCCTTTGTATCTTTATCATAAAAGATCATAATACATTATTTTAATACACACAAAAAAGAAATATTTCCTTCACCCAATCCCCCTTTGGACTACCTTTACAGGAAAAAGCGGACTTGACATTTATTATAGCCACCTAGCAATAGAGTAAAAAACAAACCAGGATTTTAAGCATCTTTTTTTCACCCTTCTGCTGCCCCCTTACTAACCTCCAGCAACATTCACATAAGAGCCAAGCATAGGACCTTGTTTGGTCATCCACCCAGGGCTCTTGTTTATTCTCCAAATCTCAGTGTAACCATTCTTGAGAAGTGTGACCTTGGAAAGAGAGCATCATCCAAGAATACTGTCCAGGCAGTATTTCTAGCACTTTGGCCTCGCAATTCACTTAGGCATTGTCTCTTTGGGATCTGCAGTTTTAAGTAGGTTATGATGACGCCTCAGAGCTTTTCCATTTATATGTGGAGAATGTAGGTGAGAGAAAGAATAAAACAACTATTTATTGAGTGCCCTTGTGCTTCCTCATACAGGATGGGAGTTCAAAGATGGTGCCTCTTAAGGGAGTTGGAATCTAATGAGCACAGCTGAATATAAGGCATTGTGATACAGTATGTGCTACTGTCAAGGTATTTTCAACAGGGTCCAGAGAAGGGACCTTCACTCTGCATAGGGGTATCAGTGACCTTGAGGATGAATAGGCATTTGCTCAGCTGAGAAGAGTTGGGATAGATTTAGGCAGAGTAGAGCCCAGGAGCAAAGGTTGAGACCTACAGTGGTGCATAGCACATTTGGCGAATGGGATTATGTGGTTGAATTACTGGATGGGGAGGAATGGTCAGAAATGAGGGTGACAAACTTGATGGTGGCCAGAATTTGTCGGGCCTGGCAATAGTTCTGACTTCATCCTTTAGGGAATGGGAAGTTGTTCCTGGACCATAAGTCTGGGAACAGCATGATAAGGGCTGAGTTCTGGAAAGACAACTCAGAAACCAGGAAGGAAAATGGATTAGAGAAGAAAATGCTACAGACGGACACTGTCCCTGAGAGAGCTGTAAAGGATCAGAGTGAGGAAACAGCCAGGGGCCCAGCAGGGAGGTGGCAGCAGGAAGAGAGGGAGGCATGCACTCCTTCAGAAGTATTCTCCCTGCCTCAGGGATGGCGAGGTCCAGCCAGCTCAAGGGCCTCACCTGCACGACTGGCTGGAAGAGGCTATGTTTTAAGGCCAATAGGAACAAAGGAGAAGATGACCTTTCTTTTATTATTGTCTTTTTTCCTTTAGGTTGTAGGAGAGAGAGAAATTGAATTTAGTTTTGAAACAAATGGGTGTTTGATGCTTATGAGTTATGTGGATGATGATGTCTAGTAGGTTTCTCTGAGCTTAGGTAAAGGGGTAAGGACAACTCTGAGCTTGAGAGTTAGGAGCAAGTCCATGACTGATAAAATTGTGAGCATGAATGAATAAAATAAGTCAACATGGAAAGAGAGGAAGACAGGGAAAGATGAGAGTGAGACAATAGTGAAAGACCCAATGCTTTCCAAAAGGTACTTTTCATTGTTTCTTCCACACCTGTTCCAAGCACCTTGTAGCCAGCCACAAATCGGCCAGATGCCTCATGGCTGCCCAAGGAGACTTTTGCTAGGATGTGGCAAGCTTTGGTCCTGATATATACTAAATGACTCCACAATATAGCCTCTCTGAATGGTTCTGCCCTTCTGCAGGCATCTTCAATCCAGTCTGTAAGGAGTCTCCAACCCTACCCAAAACTAAAGAGGAAGTCTGTGGTTAGGTGACAGGACACTGCACATACGTGAACCTATCTTTTCTTCTATGTAAGCAACTTCCTTCTGCCCTTAGCGAGTCAGTCCATGTACTGTTCCCCAGCATAAGACTTAATAAGGCCTCTCTTCATGATGGTATAGTTCTGCCTACTTGTGATTTCTATCTTAAGGAGATGGGCTGAGCTGGTTCACTAAGAAATGGTAACACCAAAGCCTACTGACACCAAAAGTAACCATCAGCCAGGACTGGTAACACTCAAGCAATCTAGCAGCAGAAAATCATGGAGAGAAACAGAGAGTTGTCATCTGTGGTTGCCAGAAGAGTTACCAAGGACTGATGGTAGCTGCTGGCTCTAACTGCCAGGAAAGGGGCAGAGGGCTGCTGACACTACGCGCTGGTATTCAAAACTTAGGGCTGTTCACACAAAAAAGTTACACTTTACTATTTATCATCTCTACTTGAATTGAGCAAAATTTACCCCCAGCTGACTGGTAACAAGGAAAGAGAGACAGAGAAGTCAAGTTCAGATGTATACATCTCTTAGGAGCTTCTAAGAAGTGGACAGGCAGCTGAGTTCAGAGAGTGGAAAGCATTCAAGGCCAACTGTGATTGAAACTGAGCCTGGTCAGAAAGAACAGAAAAGTACAAGAGTGAAAAATTACCTTACACAGCAAAAGAGAGTTTTAAGGAGGGCAAGTGGTCAACACTTCCAGGAAGTGACACGAAGTTGCCACAGTGTGGTGTTGAATCCCAGCTTCTCTACTCCAGTCCCAAATGCATATAATGCCCCAAATGCCACCAAGACGGATAATCCAGGGAGGAAGGTGGGCACATGGGTGTCGAAGTTGTGCACAGGAAGAGGGATGGAGAGTCCAGGTGAGAAGAAGACTTTTTGTGTATAGAACAAAGTAAGTCAATTCCACACATGATAACATATGGAACAGAAAATGTTCTTATTACCCAAAAAGATGCAAAGCAAAACAGAGCAAACAGAAAACAAGCAAATAAAGAGACAGCAATGACAAAAAAGAAAGTCAAATAATACTGAACAAAGCCAAACAAAGCCTCTTCAAGACTGAGCTGCATGTGACCTAGATTTGCAGCCCAGAGACCCATACTCCACTGGGGAAGTAGGCTGCCACAGTGAGTTCACCAGACCCAGAAACCAAAACACAAGCCTTCCTCGAGTCCCCTTGGGGACAAAAGTTCTTGGAGAATCTATTCATGGCTTCCAATTTCCCTTCATCAGGCTGCACATTTGCCTGAGACCAATTCCATGCTAAACATAACTCAGCCCAGAAAAATGGCCCTCTGTGCTTTCTTTTCATCGATGAATCTTAGCCCGGCTTAAGTAACACCACCACGCGACACACACAAAGCAGTGAGATGAGAGCTCCTAACGGCATCAGAGGGCTATGGGGGAGTTGTCCAACCCCCACCTCACCGACTCCTGACTGCACTTGAGGGAAAAGGAAGGAGGGGCATGTAATTTGTTCATTTCTTACATTTTTTGGAACACTTCACTTTGCTTTCAGCATAATTATTGTTGTACTTTCTGCTGTTTCCCATTTGCCATGTTTTTAAAAAAACAACAAACCCTCCACTCCTCCCGCTCACTTTTCTTAATGCATTAAAATTAATAACTCGTAACAGTGACCTAATTTGCTTTGAGTACTGTAACTCAGGGCTTTTTATTTTGGGGTTTTTTTTTTCCTCTCTCTCTCCCAGATCTGCAAAACCCTTGACATGTTACTGTGGCAACAGAACCAAGTTGGTAAGTTCATGAATGAACCCCATTGTGCTCTCCAAAGCCCCCTCTAGCTTCATTCTTTGTAGCGTTTGGATCTCACCCTAGCCTGGCATTCAATTCATAAGAATGGGGCTGGTCCTGGTCTATGCTCAATGGCCCTCAACTCCCTACCCCACTGCAGACTTTGGTGCCAGCCCTCCCTCAGCTTTTCTAAGCTGCCCAAGCCTTTGTGGCTCAACCATTTCCCTTCCTTTCTCAAAGGTTCTCCAATGGTAGGAGGTCCCTCTAGTACACCTCCCTACCAAGAGTCAGGTGGGCCACCATCTCAGTTTTCCTCCTGATAGTCCCCCTCCATTGTGTCCTGCTCCCTTTACCCTATTCCATTCTACTGCAGTAGGAGGAGTCTTACTACATGGTGTATGTGGCCATGTCGCTCCCTGCATCACAACCCTCAGAGGGTCCCCTTCCTTTCAAGAGTGTGTCCCAAATCCTTCACACAGTTTGCAACAGTCTTCATGGCCTACAGATGGGGCACCGTCTCACCTCGTCTCACACTGGCTGCCTCTGCACAAACTCTTCTTAGCCATCTGACCAATCAGGAGAGGCCAGACTACGCCACGGGCATTTCTCTCCAGGCTTGGCTCATTTTGTCCCCTTTGTCCGAATCCTCCCATCTCCTATTCCCACACAGGGCCCTCTCTCCTCCTTCCCTTCCTGTCAATCACATCACAAGCATTCACTATTATTTACATGAAGGTTCACCAAGGGCTTCCCGATCCTCCAGGTTCACAAAGTTTTGTGGGATGCTAACTTTGGGACAATCTTAAAGAAGTTTTTAAAAATACCCACCTAAATCAACATTCTGGGACTGTGATCCTAAAGCATGAAGCTCTTTCATGTTCCAATCTAGTTTCTAGCAGCAAGGGTGAGAATGAATATCCTGAGAAAAACTATTGTTTAAATAATTCACATGCGGAACAGGGAGCAGTCAGATACCGGTATTCATTCTCTTACAACACCCTAGGAAACACTGCCACCAATTTCCAGATGGTAGCAATGAGGCAAGACAGTGGATTAAGTGTCCCTTTCTAGCAAAGAGTAAACAAGGTGACAAATGATGTGGAGAACTGAGGCACGTTCACACCTGTGAGCACCATGAAGCATAGGGTATTCTCACCTGGATGGGAGTGGATGGACCAGGTGTACTTATACCAAGCAGAGGACAAAGGATTTTATTTCCCCAGCTACTGGAGAAGGGAATACATCATCACCCTCAGCAGACAGCAAGAAAAGAAGAAAAAGAATGAGACTATATCAAGGAGGCTTGGTATTGATTTTAAAATCCTAGCTGACACGAAAATGATTTGAGTCCATTTCCATTTTGCAGCTGAAGCTGAGTGCATTCTCTACCTTGGCCTGAACCCCAGAGCAGAGTTCATTAAGAATCCCCCCCAGCTGACATTCTAATCCTCATTTTCAAACTGCCACACGCCTGTGTTTCTCAAGCAAGGACATGTGTGTGAGGGGTACAGTGTGGCTTCCTGGGTCTCATCTGGGAAGCAGTCAAGCTAGCCAATTTGGGGAGCCGTATTTCAAGGCTGATTTAGAATGATGCATTTTAAAGTTCTGCTTAGCCGCACACATATATGTCTGCCAACCTTCCTGTCCTTGCGGAGGCTTTCAGCCCATGCAGAAGAGGTGAGACTCGATCCACTCAACCTAACAGGCATCAGGCTCTTGTCTTGGATGATCCCTGCTGCAACGACCTCAGCAGGGCATTCCCCTAGGAACTGTGTGTCTGCTCTGAGTTCCTTCCCTGTGCACGGCCAGAATTCTACGTGAGGGCAAAAGCACTGCGTATTTAATTTACTTGTAAGCAAACAACGTCTATGTGTTAGAAAAAATAAACTCAAACTATGAATTTGTAATTGGTTGAGATTTCACCTCCTGGCCACACTTCTCTTCCTATGGAGTTATTAAAACCCACACAATATGGTCTAATAATTTATTAATAGTCAACATAAACAGCTAACGGCTCATATAGCCATAATAGCCATTACATGTTAAATAGTGAGATTTTACTTAAAAGAAGCTTCACCGGAGAGAAGGAGGCATGGTTTTTAGAGTCTGGAATTACTGCTGTGGTGGCTCCCAGACACAGGCCTTCTTGGCTGTCCACTGGCAGCCTGTCACTGTTTACCAGTTTTCATGTGGAAGGGGTAGGGCAGCCATTCTCTGTCACAAAGAAAAGACATCCAAATTAATGGGACGGGAGCAAACCATTTCTTGACAGAACAAAGTAAAAATATAGGGCATTTCAATTTCTTTGAAAGGGATTCAACAATAACATATCTTCTATCTCATCAACATCCCTGCCATAAAACCTGAGCATGTCTTTCTCATGGTGGTTCCTTTATCTTAGTGTCTTGGAAAACGAATAAGCAAGCTAACTTCTTGCAGCCCAGTGGGGTCCTTCTGATGCCTTTGTCATCCCAGCCCCATTGTGCAACCCCTTTCTTCTCCTAGTAATCATATTATCTGCCCTGGGGTCCCCCACCCTGCACTCTTCTTGAGTGTTTTATAAAATTTCAAATTCAATAACAGGTGCCTGGCAACCAGGATTGGAAGGAAGACAGAAGGAAAATTGTCTTTATTTGTACTTGCTCCTTTCTGTAAAAAAAAAAACCCCAAGGAATCTACCAAAATATTACCAGAACTAGTGAATGAGTTCAGTGAGGTCCTAAAATGTAAGATAAACATGCAAGAACTGATTTTTTTCTCTCTCTACAGGCAATAATCCAAAAGTGAAATTAAGAAAATATTCCACTTTTAACAGCATAAAAAAACAAAATACTAGGAATAAATTTAACAAAAGAAGTGAAAAATTTGTACAAATCCCACTAAAATAACATCATTGGGAGAAATTACAGAAGTTCTAAATAAATGTGGAACCATCCCATGCTAAATGGTTAGAAAAACTGAAAAATGTTAAGATGGCAACTTTTTCCAAATTATATTTGTTTTTTTTTGGTACCAGGGATAGAACTCGGGATCTTGCACTTGCAAAGCAGGCACCAGAACCAATGAGCTAAATCCCCAGCCCTTCCAAATTATATTTGGATTCAGCACAAGTTGTATCAAAACCTCAGTGAATTTTAGTCTATTTTTTTTTTTCAGAAATTGGCAATCCAACCCTAGGAAATATATGGAAATGCAAAGGACCCAGAATAGCAAAAAAAGAAAATAAATCATTGAAGGATTTATATTTCCTGGCTTTAAAAATGCAGTGAAACTGTAGTAATCCACACAGTGTGGCACTGACACAATGAAGACATTTAGATCAAAAGAATAGAATTGAGAACTCAGAAATATATTAATATTTATGGTCAACTGAGTTTTTAAAGAAAGTGCTGCAGCGACTCAAGAGGAGTAGAATATTCTTTTCAACAAACAGTGCTGGAACAACTAGATATTCACATGGAACTCTGCTCTCATGCACATCTATAAATCAACCAAAACCTGATATTGACATAAATGGAAGGACTAAATCTATAAAAGTTTTAGAAGAAAACAGCAGAAAATTACTGTGATCTTGACTTTTCAACACACACCAAAAATACAAGAACATATTAAGAATTTGGACTTCATCAAAATTAAAAATCTGTTGCTCTTAAAAAGACACTATTAAGAAAATGAAGAGAGAAGCCACAAGCTGGGAGATCATTAAATTATATACCTGATGAATAACTTGTATCTAGAGCTTTTAAAGAAGTCTTCCAACTCAATAATAAGAGCAAACAACTCAGCTTATAAATGAACAAAAGTCAAGAAAATGAGAAGTCAGCTTGGAAAAAAAATGCTTGAAAAATTCATATCTGATAAAGAACTGCTATCCATAATATACAAAGACCTTAAGTTTCAACAGTAAGGACACAAACAACCCAATTAGAAAAGGGGCCTAATGCCTTATCTTAATAGATAGCTCACCAAAGAAGATTAAGGGATGGCAGATAAAGCATATGAAAAGATGCTCAACATCATATGTCAGAAGAAATTTTAAATTAAACAATAAGACACCAGAGACCATTATGGATCTATTAGAATAGCCAAAGTCTTAAATACAGACAACAGCAAATTCGGACAGGATGTGCAACAGCAGGACTCGCATTCACTGCTGGGGGAATATACCATGGTCCAGTCACTTGGTCCAGTTTGGCAGTTTCTTACAAAACCAAACATTCTTACTGTAAAATGAAGCAATTATGCTCTTTGGCATTTACTTGAATGAGCAAAATATTTATGACGGCACAAAAACCTGCACATGGATGTTTTACAGCAGCTTTATTTACAGTTGTCAAAACTTAGAAGCAACTAAGTTGTCTTTCAGTAAGTGAATGGATAAACTGTGGTACATCCACGGAATGGAATATTATTCAGGGCCAAAAAGAACTGAGCAACCAAAACCACATGAACACAACATGAAGGAAACTTAAATGCAAATCAGAGAGTGAAAGAAGCCAATTTCAAAAGGATGACTATTATATCATTCCAACTATATGATATTCTGGAAAAAGCAAAATTATAGAGATGGTGAAAAATCAATGAGTGGTTGCTAGGGGTTAGGAGGGAGGGAAAGATAAATAAGCAGAGCACAAAGAATCTTTAAGGCAGTGAAACTGATCTGTATGATACTATAAAGGTGGATACTTGTCATTATACATTTTTCCAAACCCATAGAATGTACAACACCAATAGCCCTAAGGCAAACTATAGACTCAGGGTTCAGGGTGGTAATGCTGTGTCAGTGTAGGTTCATCATGTCTAACAGGTAGCAGGGAAGCTGTGCCAGCAGGGAGGTAGAGCTTATATGGGAACTCTGTACTTCCTGCTCAATTTTGTTATATATTTACAGTTGCTTTAAAAATAAAATCTGCCCGGGATTTAGCTCAGTGGTGCTGCTGCCTGCCTCGCAAGTGCAAAGTCCTGAGTTTGATCCCCAGTACCAACAATAAATAAATAAATAAATAAAATTTTCTTTAAAATAGGCAAATGTTTTGAAAAGACATTTCACCAAAGAAGACATACAAATAGCTAGTAAACACATAGAAAAATGTTCAGTGCCATTAGTCATTTGGGAAATCAAATTAATACCAAAATGAATAACCATTTCCTATGTACTAGAATGGTTATAATGTAAAACAAAAATAATAATATATGTTAGCAAGGATATGAAGTAACTGCAACCCTCATACATTACTGGTGGGAATGTAAAATGTTACAGTCACTTTAGATAACTGGCAGGTTCTTAAAAATGTTAAATATAAATTTACCATATGATCCAGAAGTTCTACTTCTAGTTATCTACCCAAGAGAAATGAAAACATAGGGCCACCCAAAGACCTGTACATGAATGTTCATAACAGCATTATTCATCTTGGGCAACAAGTGGAAAAACCTAAATATTCATCAATTGGTGAATAGATAAACAAAATGTGGTACATCCACATAACAAAATAGTATTCTGCAATCAAAAACAACAAATTACTGCTGAATGCTACAACATGGATGAACCTTTAAAACAAGCTAATCAAAAGAAACCAGATGCCACATATTACACAACTCCATTGACATGAAATGTCTAGAAAAGACAAACCTACAAAGAAAAGTAGAACTGTTGTTGTCTGCTGGAAGGAGTAGGAATGGAGAATGCAAATCAGCAGGAAGGATCTCCTGGGGGAGATGGAATTGTTCTAAAACTAGATGGTACTGTGGTTGCACCACTGTGTAAAATTTCTAAGATCCATTCAGTTGTAAACTTACAACAGTGAATTTTATGGTACATAAATTACACCTCTAATAAAGCTATTAGAAAATAACAGATGCTTATTAAGAATGTTAGGAGGCCACATGAATGGGCAAGGCACACATTGTGGACACTACCTATCATTAATTTATCATAATCCCATTACTAGTGAATGAGTCTTCTAGGAATACCTCCTGCTGTTCTTAGAAATACACTATATTTATCTAAAATATAGCCTCACACTTACATCAAGCAGAGACAATTGAACCCACCAAGTCCAATCCAGGCATCATCTCACTAGCAGAATGAAACAGGATAACCTCTGGCTTAGCCAGAAAGAAGATATGACCTGTCAGCTAGGACTAAAGCAGTCATCGCCTTCCAAATGCCTTCCATTTATCTCAGTGTGGGTTAAAAGTCCTGAACAATATAGTCATCACTACCCCTTGACTGGTCTCTCCTTTGTACAAGACCTTGGGTAAGGATAACAACTTAGTTTCGTAAAGCACTTACAAAGTGAGTTAACATATGCTGGCTCGCCTATTCTTAGAACAACTCCACTCTTAAAGTAGCAGACCTTGGCTGACAAGCTCTGTGTCACCCCAGTTCCAGTCAAGATGATGTGAGCACAAACCCGCAGAGTGGGCTTTGGAAAGCATTTACTTTTCTGACACAAAGAAGCAGATATTCTACCCCTTCTTTTTTCCTCTTCCATGCCCGAAACAAGGGTAATGCCAGAAAAGAACAGCAGTCATATTGGGAAGACAAGGAAAGGTCAAGAGAGCCCCAGAGTGTCCGGACTTGCTGGTCCCAACATGATGATGCAATTGCAGGGGCTCCACAGCAGCTCCCTGGAAGCATGGAGAGTGAGGCTAATGGACCCCGACTTGTCTAAACCATTGCGACTGGATTTTTCTGTACACTGTTGCAACCTACATCTAATGACCAGGCAGAACTGATTACTCACAGTTCACAGGTCAATTTTAATCCCGTTACCCACTTCCCCATTTCCAATAGTCTACCCTCTTCCTACCATCTCTCCTTTATTTTGTTTATTTATATTTTAGGTTTCTCATATAATTGAAAATATGTGATATTTAACTTTCAGGGTCTGGCTTATTTTGCTTAATGTGATGGTTTCCAGTTCTATTCATTTTTCCTCCAAAAGACATGATT